AGAGAAAATATAGCATTTGGCGTCAGATTATCAACTTTAATATATTGCCGTTTCAGGAAAAATAATTCGACGCAACTGACAGCCACAGCATAATATTAAAGATGATAATCTGACGCCAAATGCTATTTTTTTTCTCTGAATTGGCAATAGCATGATGTCCATGAATAAGGGTCCATGCATTAATTATGTCACGCTAAATCGAGCAAAAAATTACCCCTCCCCCCTATCGTGACGTTTTTCCTATACCTAATGCATTGCTTGTCACAAAATCTTAGACCCCCCCCTACTCCCTGCTTAGAGCGTGACATAATATATGCATCAACCCAATTGATGTGTATAGTGACCAGCAAAATTAAATTTAAAGCTTCCATAATGGAAGATCGATATAAATCTCCGAAAATATTTTGCTAGAAAAATTCAGAGTAATGATCAACTGTCACTAGAAACTTCCGTTGTTTCCCCTGATACTCTTATAAATAGACAGTTGAAAATTGTGATGAGAAACGGGTTTTGGAAATTATCGCCGTTAAGGTATTTTAATTAAGCACTAAATTAAAAGCGATGAAGCGATGGAGGTTAAATGGCTAATTTCTAAGACAGCAGCACCTTTGCTAGATCTTGAATTTGGATCTGCGATAGGTTCGAAGTCTTCACAATTTGTGTATGAAAATTTCGCCCAAAAATTTAAGGCTTTCATTTGATTATTCTTTAGATTAATTTCCTTTCACATTGATCGCTCCTGAATTCTTATACAATAAATTAGAAATTCTCTCTGAAAATCCCTTGAAATTGATTGTATAATAGTACAGAAGTTCTCTGTAGAGCACTTAAAAAAATTCTTAAAATTCATCCTTTCCTTGAATTATAAACTCTTTCTAAGAGTTCACTGGAGCTTCATTTTTTTTAATTTGCATGAAATTCTACGTAGAATTAACCTCAGACCAACAATTGAAAAGGACCTATTAGCTTTTGTGAGCAAAACTTGTAATCCTCCTTCCCTGCCAACACCATCTCGCAGGGGAAATTCTCCCGCCGAGAATTGTCTTCAAATTTTGCTCAGAACTATCTTGGAGTTCTCCTCTAAATTCTTCTGAAAATTGCATGGAATTCTCATTAACATTCTCTAGAAATTCATTTCGAAATGCGCTTGGGATTATACTCGGACTATCCCTTTAGATCTACGCATAATTATTTTGGAATTGTACCCTCAAGAATCCTGGAATCCTCTTCACTCTTGGGAGATCTAGTAAAAACTCTCCTAGAGGTTTTCCTAAAGCTCCCTAGAAAATATTATCTGAAATACCTTGGTGTTATCTCTAGAATTCATTCTAAGATCTGCTCAAATTTGCTTTGGAGAAAAATTCTAAAATTCTCTTAATAGTTCTTCAAAGTGACTGTAGTTATTCTGAAAATCTAGACCAGTCCAAGGGTCTTGAAATCTTATTGTGTTCGAAGAGAGAACGAGATATATTTTCCCAGATTTGTCAACTAAATTCATGGGATTGTCACGGTGACTTCAAATTTCAGATTTTACCGGTTTTCCCGGTTCACTGGTCACTCTGCATTTCACATATGAAACACTTATTTTTAATCCCATTATATTTGTTTTGCATTCAGCACATTTTGAGACCCAGCTCCGTAAGAAAATTATTCCGGATAATATGCTTAACCAAAAGCTAATTCGCGGGCGGATTTCTCCGGTGGGAAATAGTAAAAACAAGCTTTCATCTCCAAAATTATGTAAGTTAATTCTATCTAAATTGCAATAACAGCAACATTACCATACTAAAACTTTACTGTGAAGCTAATTTTACGAGCTAACCAGGTTGACAATGAATACTTAATACAGCCACTCTTTGATGTCAAAGCAATGCTTGTGTACGTATCTTTCAATCATCATTCAATCATAAAAGTGCTACTCCAAGCAATAAAAAAAAACTCCTAAGCAAGATCATTATCCTAAATTCTCATTAAGTTAGTTCTTTGAGCTAATCAAGCTTTTAAGAACACAATAAGGAGCAAGAAGTAGAAGTATTCAGAAAAAAATCATTATCTTCTCTTAAAGCTGGGTTTAGACAAGGCAAGTCAATTGATCCACTTTTCAAGCCAATTGAATTCAACTGAGTTAATCAATGACTTGCCTTGTCTAAGCCCAGCTTAACTCTTAATCATTCTTGCATTTACTCAAAAGCACTCCAATGCACTCAAGGAATTGATTTTTGTTGGACACAGCTGGATCGAGCAAATGAAATTGAAAACCATCCTCAAACTACAACGAGTATTTAAGTTGTTTGAAACTAGCGAAGCCAGCCATACTTATTAATATGTTTCTGTTATAAAGAAATATTTCCCTGACTTTGAATGAAATTCCCTGATATTTTCTGATTTTCCAGGTCCAAAAAGGAATTCCCTGATATTCCCTGATTTTTTCCAGGTTGTCGACACACTGAATAAAGTTCTTCTTCGATGATTTGAAGCCCATTTGATTCATTACAATGAAGTTAACGGCGTCGAGATGCTAGGTTTTGACGTCTGAAGATTGAACAGAAGTCCATACAAATTCCACAATATTTTATAACATGAATTTGGAGCGAATAAACGACAGACGCTTGTTTAAATTAAATTGGTTTCACTCACGATGTTCCTTCACAACAATCACAGAAAATAAATCTGATGTAAATGATGTAAAAAACAATGCATGCTAACATTCATGCATGTAAGCTTCCTTGTCATGTAAACTAGCAGCTTGTAAGAAATGTTGCTTGCAAAGATGGAGGGTTGCATATAATATTTGGAATATTTCATAAAATGTATCGAAACTTTAAGCAATCTAACATGTTAACTTTTATAATAAATGAGCATCTTAATAACAGAAATTTCAACTAGTTTTTCGAACTGTGAACTATTGCCTGGTTCTGGCTCATCAATAAAAACTGTCATCTGCTTTTCTCATTGACTACCGATAAACAGCTGCTAAAATGAACGAGAAGCACATAAATTTCCCGAAGACGTGTTATCCAGCGACCAGCTTAGACTAGTTAAATATAAGCGATAGATGAAGTTCCTTCAAAACGAGCTTTCACACACGATTTGAAAATCGTATAAACTGGTTTGAAGTCAACGTTAACGGATAGTAAGTAAGAGCGATTGTTTCCTGGAGTCCAGATTCCTCGAACATTTGCTCTAAAATGACAGCATCTCTCTCCGATAAAAGCTAAACTCAATTTGCTTACTTTAAGAAAACTGGCTACTAAAACTGAAATATGTTCAAATTTTTAGTCCTAAGGCTTTTTCCCAAGCTTTGATATTGCATAAAGACATTATTTTATTTTAAGTAACTTGACAAACCGCGAGTATTTGGTCCAACTTCTACTAGACATAGGAATAAGAGAATTTTGTTACAAATAATGATCGGCTCCGTAAAGCTAAAGCGATTGAGCCTACCAAATAAACGAACTAGATTAAAAGTATCTTTATATTTTTCTCGTGAAATACCGGGAAACAGGACGCTTTAGTCCGATGAACGGCACTCTCGGAACTTCCGATACAGCTCAGCACATTGCATTCAAAGGTGCAAAGGGCCAAAACGAAAAACTTCCATCCTGGGCGACTGCTTGCTCTTCCTCCAATCTGGACCCAGTTCGAATCCCTATCGACATCTCTGTTTTTCCTGTTGAGGCTTCACCGCCAGTCCGGAGCCCACATGCCTCCGTCCCCTTCCTCAGTGTGTGGCTGACCCACTGGGTCATCTACTCACGTTCTTGGATTCCAGCTGATATCGGTTTCTGATGACATCGACGGTGGAGCTCACTATCTGAAATCAAGTTGTGAGGCCAACGTTATATCATGCAATAATGACATTCAAATCAATTACAATAATTGCACACCTGCTAGTTTTACTGATATTCATCCATATCAAGTCATATTTTGATATTTGTGAACGTTTTGAGCGATGGAGCACAGAAATATTGAGGTTAGGGCGACGCCACTGAGGCAACGGTTGATGAACAAATGTATTCTTTGTGTGCTCGTTTCAGGCACGAACCATGTCTCGCTGGTGTAAAACATCACAGACCTCACATACGAGTTGAAATCTCGGACCTTGGTGCTTAAACCTATCTGATTTGATCTTCAAACTCTTCGTAAGCTCGCAAACGCAGCCCTTGCGTTCCCGATTCATGCATCCATGTCACCCTTGGTCCCGTCATTTGTAGCTATCAGGCTTGCTATTGTAAACTTCATTTGGTTGATTCTTCAAAACTAGGTTGTTCTAAAAGTATGCAAGAAACGTAATGTGTAGTGATGCTTTCCAAAATATTGAAGACCCATCATAATATCGCAGGTGGCAACACTCGTGTCCATCTTTCCCGTTTCGGTTAAGATCTAGATTAGCACTGAGACCTGGTATTATAATCAAAGTACCGCAAGGTTTTGCCAATGCCCATGAGGCTACGTTGGATAGATTACTGTAATGATATTCAATTTAAAAATTTTCCGTCTGCGAAAATGGAATTAGTGAGCAAGGATTTCCTTTAAGAACATCTGATATATGAATCGGAGTCAGTCAATTTAGAACTGACTGAACAGACTTGCAATTTTTTTTTTTAAATGTGCAGATATTTTCCACAGAACTTTAATAGATGGAAAATACTTTTTATCAAACTGAAAATACTAAACTGCGGCTGCATCAGAAATATTATGTTTACTTAAGCGAACATTAACCAGTTGAATAAGAAGGCAGCTCGGGCCGCTTTTGCCAAACCCTCTGCTACGCTACTGGCCAGGGCATAAGAACCACACATCCATCCAGCCAACCAGCCAGAGCACCACACCAGGCAAGAAGAGAAAATGTCCGCATGGTTCGACATTTGATGGACCCTTCGGTTCGAAAACGGGAAAATCAATGTTGGTTCCACGATCAGAATCCTCCTCCCCCCGTAATAAAGCTCGATGGAGTCAAACAACGAACTACACAGTGAATATAATATTATGATAATTACCTTCTAACACGGATGAAATCGATTACGTCTTACGTTCCTACAGCATCCGGAAATAATCCATAGTTTCGTGGCCGAGATTCTTTCCGTCGATATTCAAGCACACGAACAAAAGTTGATTACAATTCAGTTTTCACACACGACCCGTTTTTGGTAATCCCAAAGTGGTGGCTGCTGCCAGTGTGTATCCTTTTCTGATTCTCACTTCTCGGAAATGGCACTTCCACGAACCTGCCTGCTTCCACAGACTCAGACTGCACACCACTCGTTCGCGCGCCTCACTTCCTCCGCCGTCGCGAATCGATCCCGCGTCCGCCACCGGAAGTTGGGCTGCCGTTTACCGTGGGTACCGGGAAACCGTGATCGCGAACAAATTTCAATTTCCAAGAAACATTCAAAATCTTGCCCGCAAGCCTTGGCACTACTGCTGCTTTAGGTCGCGCGATGGAGGAAAAACATATTTTTTGATGATGCTCCAGGCAACATAAAATTTTCTTCTTTTCCTGGACTCCCCTCTCTCTCTCTCTTCTGTGCTTCTTCCAATGATGTTACCCTGTCACGTACACAAACACGGGGGCGCGCGCGCACACGTATGCTTGCTTTCCTGCTGTGTGGATAGATCGGAATATTATGTTGATGCACAAACACAGCGAACCGCACGCGACGGGCAGTCCCTTCTTGCAAGGGCCAAAACCGAGGGCGCACAAACACTATTCCGGGAACGCGGACACTCGAGCGCGCCCTTCACGTCCTCTATCGACCCTCGGTGCACCGCGCACGCACGCACGCACACACACACTGCTAAACAAACACAAACACTATACGACGGGCCTTCCGACAATAATCTCTCTCTAACCCGCGTTGATGATTTCCCTGAGGGAACACACCTCTTTCCCGCTTTCCGCAACGAACCGACGACTACACACCCGGGACGGGATCGCGTTTGCCCGCTTCCCCGCAACTGCTATGCTCTTTCTCTTATATAATAGGCATAGACAGAGACAGCGAGGGCCACTGCTGATATGTTGCAGAGGGCACCAGCAGCATAAAAATCATACACACGCACACATCTACACACGCGAATGCTACGACGTCGACGGATGAGTATCAAATTCACTGAACTGAAAATTTCTATCGCTTTAGGCTGGCTGCCTGACAATCACAATCAATCTCCCACACTCTTTTGCTGTTGTTGTTATTATTATTATTATTCTTTACACCAAACTCTTCTCACTAGTGGTGGTAGTTGCTGCACTTACAGTAGTAGTATGAACACTGACGACGACGACCATCGGAGAGGGCGCGGATCCATTCATTCACGACGATGATAATGATCGATCTTCTATTGATCGGACAGAACAATAGACGCACTTACAAACAACGGAACGGAGAGCGTCTAGTTCATAAACGAAAATCGAAAACGCTCACACTTTGATTGATGAAATTCGCTTGTTTCTAAACACGATCGATGATGCTTGGCAAGAGCTTTTCTCTTTCCAACAACAAAAAATGGCTAGTATAATTGATACACAGCTTGAATAGTGTTGTTCCTTCAGGAAGAGTCTTGACTAACGCGCGCAATAACCGACGGTCTCACGATATCGTCCCTTCGGAGGTTCAAGGCGGACTGGATTTAAAACCCAGACATTCGCAGCGCAGAACCCCTCACGACGGCGGCCCGAACGCACACACACACACACACACACACACACACACACACACATATCAATAGCCATCAACAATCAGAAGAACGACACTCTCCTTCTCCCTCTGGCTCTCTCTATGGCACACTCTCATCCACAGTCGGCCGGAGAGCGCTCTGCACAGAACTCACTCGAGCATAGATGATGCAGAAGCGCAGCAGCATGAAGAAGCATAGAAGGCAAAACAGGCAAACCATGCGGGCAGGATAGAACGTTGCACTCACACACGACCGCCGATCGATTTTTATCATCGAGTATGTTGAATGAGAGTGTACAATCATTCGCTCTCTCCCTCTCTCCGATCGAGCTCCGTCCGGTCGGGTTGTGGTGTGCATGCTGAACGAAAAACAAGCATTCAGAATTATGTGCACAGGTCTCGTAGGGAAGAGCGGGGCTAGTTGATCGAAAGGTTAAAATTCTGGCATGATTTGATTTTAAAATAAAATGTTTTACTGAGCGTTGCAGGTCACCTACCGGATAAAATTAAACCATAGATTAAGAGGGGCATAGGGGCCTCTGCTCCTTCCCCCTAACTCAGTTTTTTTTTTGTTTTCAAGATAATTGAAAAATGTTAATGGAGGAAGATTGAACTGGAATAATTAACACCTTTTTTTAATACCTCAAGAGAAATCAAGCATTCGGTCCTAAGTAACATTGATCGATTCTCTTCATCTCTTACGTTATTAACTTGGGTACAGAACCGTTATTTGTCGTGTTTGTCGTATAAGAAGCTAGATTATAGCTTCTTTCATCGTTATGTGTGCTGAAAATAGCTGGGAACTAAAGCATTGTTCAGCTTGAAATCCTGAGCAAAATAATAACAAAATTCAGGTAAACATTCTAAGGAAATATCTGTCCTGAATACCAAGATAATTCTACGCAGCTTTACCGCAACGAAACAGGACCTTCCAAAAAACATCACAATGACTCTCGAATATCTCACAGAATAACGTGACTCTCCTCTGGGGCCCCACTTGTTTCTGGACACTCCTATCCGGGATCCTCTACATCAAACTCTGAAATTTGGGGAGTTCCCTTCTGAAACTCCTAGCCTTTATAACTAGGGAAACCCCTTTCGGGGGTTTTCAGAGACAAAACAGCCCACGGCTGAAAGTCTCTTTAATAATTAAATCTAATCTAAGCCAAGATAATCCATAGAATGTCCTCAGGAAATCTGAGACGAATTCCAAAGAATTTCTGGGAAGAAGAAAGGAAGTTATGAAGTGAATTCCTAAGTCATTCTTAAAATAATTTCATAACGGTTGTGAAACGAACCTCATAGGGAACCACTATGGAGATTGTGAGGAGCTTGTGAGTTTTGAGCATAATTCCAATAATAATGATTTTGACGACATTCCAAAGAGATTTATACATAGACTCAGGAAAATTTCTAAATAATGTTTTCAATTCTGGTCATCAGATACTAGGATTCCTGAGTATAGAGTTTTTATTAAAATTTTGAGAATATTTTCGAAACATTAAAAGGTCCTCGGATTTTACTTGAGTTGCAGAAACATGTTTCAAGACCATTAAATTGAATGTTTTTGAGCTGCTGTGGTCATTGGACACAACTATTGGATAGTGAAGATTTTTTTCTCCTTTCATACCTAGACCCTACATATCGACCCATCAACTAATGGACCGGGGAACAACGGCTGTACTTGTCTACACCACCAGATAGTAAAAATTGAACCAAGATAATTTTGGAATCCATGAATTTAAAAATAAATGATTTCAAGGAAAAGCATTTCGGTTTAACAAAAAATGAAATTAAATTAAATTCAAATCTTAAAGATTCTTGGACCAATCACACAACTCCAAGATTCCAAGACGTGAATTTTATGCTTAAATTTTCCCGTCAATAGGACTTACAGAAATTTTCAAGGTATCAGCGTGAAAAAAAAACTATATTTTTAAACATAATAGAAGAATCTAGGCTTTGGAATATTTTGAATGTCCTTAGAGTTTTAATTTATGTCAAGCACCTAGCAATTTGAAGAATTATATAGAAGAGTTTATAGAACAATTCCAAACGAATTTTGATGAGAATTAAAAACAAAAAACAATTCGAAGCACAATTCACAGAGATTGTGAAAAACAAAACAATCCTCAGGAATTTCGAGCATAAATGCTATGTATAATTTCAAGATTGATCTGAAGAGAAGTGTATAAGAATTGTGAGAAGATATCCAGGTGAATTTTAACGATAATTTCTATAGCATTCTGAAGAGTATTCATTTTTTTTTTAAAGTGCAACAGAATCCTCAACTTTCTTTCTTCTGTCAATAATATTTTTCTAGGCAGGAGAAGCAGGAGCATATTAGTATAAGTAGGAATAACCACATAATTGCCAGAAAAATTTAACTACCAGACTAGCAAACAATAATACCATAGAGGTAACTCTAAGACTAGAAGGTCTCGAAATAACGTGCTCAACTTTTTGGCTCAGCTCTGGTACTCTCTTTGGTCCCAAGCTAATCGATTCACCCCTCGAAACATAGGAAAAACCAATAACCCCTCATTTTATCTGTCAAACTTTCATAGCGAATCAAAACAAACATTGCGTAGTACTAGAATTTCGACTAGAATAGGGTACGTTAATCGTTTGCTTTGGACCAATAGGCTACTAAAGTGGTGAGCCAACTTAAAATCGTTAGTTTCGTATTGATTGTTGATAATACGGCTGTTCAATAAAATCGCAATGAAGGAAAATCGAAAATGTCGTTTAGATTCAACTCTATTTACATATGATTTCCTTGTTCAGTGTAGATTTGTAGGATTCCGTTTCCTACCGTTTCCTACTGTTCGCTGGCATCTACTTTTTCGATGCTGCGTTAGATAGAAGTCAATGGCGATAGGTACGGAATGATTTTTCATGAAAAGTAGGTGTGTGTGTCAATTCATTTGCTGCTAAGAAGACACGAGCCTGCATATGCTTGAAATCAGTGAGCTTGCAGCTCTGAGGTGCCGCGGTCTAGAACAGTATGTTTCTCGGAAAGTGAGAGGATTATATATACGGTAATAAAATTGGCATATTTCATAACGAACCAATACTCGGAAATAATCAATTTTATGAGCAGCATACAAACTTTTATAGTAGGGGAAATGGATGTAATGTCGGCCTAAATGCCCCTAATTTGGGCCCATACATAAATTCAGCAATCGTCTAAATTTTCAATAGCGACCAAAAATATCCATTTGTACCGTCCCAATGACGCGTTCATCTAGATAAAATTGATAAATAGCAGATTTTTAGGGATGGAACCAATCTTAGAGCCATTTCCCCTATATGTTTAAAACATGATGTACCATATGGAGATAAAGGTGTGGTCAATCAGGCTGGTTGGTTTATATAACACATATGTTATCGATAGGAAACCTTCAAAAAGTAGAAGGCTGGTGATCCAGTTAAGTAATAGACCTAAGCGGATGGGAAGAATTGTGGATTAAAACTTGCGCTTTTCCATGAATAGAGCATTTTACGAGACATTTCTGGTTAAATTCATGAATAAACGCATAATACTCTTGTAAATCTTTGAAGTAAACCTGCCGACCGAGATACCCAACAAACAATTTGAGCTGATTAAAAGCTGAATAAGCTATTAATTAGCTGAAGAAGCATATTTTTGCCTGAATAAGCTATTTTTCAGCGCTCAATGTTTGTTGGGTAACGTGCCGCTACAGGAATAACCGAAGAAATTCATGTTACAGTAAACAAGCCCGGTCAAACCGTGAACGAAGTAGTTTTCACAATACCGCAACCTACTAATTGCTTGGGGTTATTCCGAGAGTCGAAGTGACTTTTGTCACTTGTGAAGTGAGAAAAATCACGTCGTGATGACGTGACTCTCTGTGCAAATCAAATGAAGAGTCACGTCACCACGACGTGACTTTTCTCACGTCATTAGTGACAATAGTCACTTGGACTCTCGGAATAACCTCCGCTAACTGACTTTGACTAGAAAGATGCCGGAGATTTACGACCATTGCGTTTCTCATTGTAGAACCCTAAACTGGCAGTGGTTTTCATTGGCCGGTACAGTAAGGATTCACGTTTTGCTTCGCAGTGGGCACTAGCTTCCACAAAGCAATTTCGTGGCGCTGAATTCATTTGCTCTTAAAAGTATAGATTCTTGAAATCAGCAATACTTCCTAAATGACCATCATTTGGCGGCACGATCTCTATTGAACTATTCCACAAATGGTTTGGATAACCCTAATAAACAACTGGGTAAACTATCCCACAAAAGGTTTGGATGATACCCCGAACACGTCGTTAAGCTCTCTTTTATGGTTATTTTATTAGGGAATACTCCGCACACGTCGTTAAACAAATTAACCATAAAAGTTTTATTAGGGTAGCCACTAAGGTCAAAAACTGGTACACTGCTACGGCCAACAAAGTAATACCATAGAGGTAAGTCTAAGACCACTGGGTCCCGAAGAAAATCATTATTATTTTTGGCTCACTCAGTACCAGAACAACGGTCCCAAGCAGTCCCAAGCTATTTCACTCACCCCTGCATGTTCTGCATGAATCCACACACCCCTGATGTTATCTGTCAAACTTTCATAGCGAATCAAAAGAAACATAGTGTAGTACTAGAATTTCGACTAGAATGGGGTACGTTAATCGTTTGCTTGGGACCAATAGGCTAGTCAAGTAGCGAGCCAATTTAAAATCGTTAGTTTCGTATTGATTGTTGGTATTACCAACAATCAATACGAAACTAATGATTTTAAATTGGCTCACCACTTTAGTAGCCTATTGGTCCCAAGCAAACGATTAACGTACCCTATTATAGTTGAAATTCTATTGCTACACTATGTTTGTTTTGATTCGCTATGAAAGTTTGACAGATAAAATGAGGGGTTAGTGGATTTTCCTACGTTTCGAGGGGTGAATCGAT